CATCTGTTGTCAAGCTGCCCAGAAGGTGCTATTTGTTACATGGCAGCGCTGACTGATACACTCTCCAGTACCCGCCATCCACCCTGGGGTGAAGGTTCCAGCAGGCGCGTTGGCTGGAAGACGACTCCAGCCTCAACCCTCTAAGGAAGACCTGGGACCCGCTGACAGCATGGTAAGAACCCCACACCTGGGCTGGCGCATTTCCACAATGCCCGCTGCAGGTGAAGCCCTGCCTTGGACAACATGAGACGTGTGTCCTCATCGCCGAGCTACGGGGGCAGCCCCTGGGGATCCCCCAGCCCCACCCAGCTCAGCTCAGAGAGCAAAGACGGGGAGGGGAGGGGAGGCCACAGAGCAGGAGGGGGCTCCCCGCAGAAACCCTGGAAGAAACGGCCTATTGTGACCCGACGCCCTTACTGACCTCCCCTGAATCAGTACTTAACAGACCAGATGGGTCTCCTGCAAAGAAAAGCCCGGCCACAGGTGGAGGTCACCCAAGGCTTACCTGCTGGAGGCTCGCCCAGGCCCTGTGTGTCTGGCGGCCGCCCGGCTGGACTGGGAGGACCCAGGTGAGGAGCAGCGGCTGGTCACGGTCAAGGTCACGGGCCCGCTGCTCCCCGCAGCCCCGTCCTCGGGTTCAGCATGGCGTGCAAATCCAAGGCTGGAAAGGCAAAGAAAGAGGCTGTCACTGAACGCACTGAACTTGCACCGACGTGGACTTCACGCTCTGCACCCCGGGATAACGTTTTTTAAAAGGGACACACAGAATATTGTTTTTCAAGGAGATCCTTTCAAAGATGGACTCTGGAAGAAGTCCACAAGAGGCACGTCTGGAGTCACCACGTCACCTGACCGCAGGGACAAACAGAGGAGCCCTGGGAAGTCACTGGGCTCCCAGGTCACTGCCCGTCGGCTTCCCGCGCGGGGCGGGTAAGGAACAGGCCTCTTCATGGCCAAGGTCACCCACAAGGCAGGCTGCGAGAGCTGATCAACGCGCACGTTCCTCGCCGGGCCCTGCCAGGCCGCCGCCCTCAGCCCTGCCCACGGGGACCGCCACCATCCCGCATCCCAGACCGGGTTCCGGTGACCGGTGTCCCGTGCTCCTCCACGTGGCCCCTGAGTGTCCCCCGGGAGGGAGGGAGGGAGAGCAGGCGACCTGCACGTTGAATCCCGGCCACTGCCTTTGGCTCATTTATCCAGCTCCCATTCCTGCGGGCCGAGGCGCTGTGCGAGGCGTGGAGGACAGGGTGGGGACCGAGACAAACGCCGGCCCTGCCGGAGTGAGTGTTGAGCCCCCCGGACAACGGTGTCCCTCACCCTGGCCCCTCCGCAACGCAGGGGACAGAAAGGCCGCCTCCCTGAGGATTTTAACACACGGCACTGGAACGCCACGGAATCTTCCTCCGCCTAAATGAGACGCACTCGGGCCAGGACGCGGCGGGGAGGTCAGCCCAGACCGGCGATGAGCATCTTTAGCAGCCTGTGTCCCCAGCTCCGAAATCGGCACGAGGCTGTACCTCCCCCCAGGGCGTCTGTGAGGATGCAGTGAGCTAATGCAGGGACAGACTCAGCATCGCACCCAGAAAATGATCGACAAGAATACAGTTATCTCCAACTACGGCACGTCCAACAGCTCTCCGACCGTCGGACGCTGAACGCGTCGGCCGCCTGCAAGCTGTGAAGCCTGCGACACATGCAGGGCACGCTGGTCTTCTGGGATCAAAAGGGAAACTCCTGGCGTGTGATCAGCTGTCTGCTCAAAGCTGGGCATGAGCTGCACGCACGGAGGCGTTTTATTAAAGGTGCCTGCTCTCACCCTCAAAGATTTGTAAGTCTGGGAAGCATGATAAGGTGTATTCTGAGTGGAACATCTCTGAATTCTGGTTAAAAAAAGAGTTAAAAAACTCAAGGTAAGAAAAAAAAGGTAGACTCAAATAATGGGCTGGAATGTCACGTTGGGAAGTGAACCTGGGGTGACGGGATGGCAGCTGAAGCCTCTGGGTCACCTGTAACCCTCAGACGCTAAGACGTGTCCCCTCTTCCCCGGAGAACTTCATCTTCTCCTGGATTCCAATCCAAACGCCCCAGGACCACTTCCAAACACATTGTTCACGCAGCTGCCTTCAAATTTCCAACACGTGCCTGGCAGATTGGCTTTTTTTTTTTTTTGCAATAGGCAAATAAATTTATCTATAATGAAGCAAAGACGACCTAAGAATTACCTGTCAGACTGCTCACCGCTTCAACCATTCTGGGCTATTGGATGTTGAATTTCACATCGACATTACACTGATAAAACAGAGACCATAAGATTTTTGAACTTGAACTGATGAACTGAAATGTTCCCAAGACCCAGGATCTCCAGGACCGACCAACAGACACGAGGCAGACAAACCTCTAGGCTCTGTTTCCAGAGGCCCCACCCAGAGCCCCCACATCCCCACCTCCCTGGACCCCGGCGACGCCCCACAAGCTCCCTGCGCCGACCTGGCCGGCTGCGCGCCCACCCACAGGGGAAATGGCGCCCTCTCGTCCCCAGTCACCCATCAGGCAAAGTCACACTCCCCACCCAGCTTCACGGCCAGACACGACACACACGTCAAATCTTAAAGAATATACGAACTTGGGCAAAAAAAAAATAAATAAATGCCTTAACTTACTTCCAAAGGGTTCCAGAAACAAAGGACCTCTTGGTTGCCCTTTCGCGTCTTTGGTATCTTCCAGAAATTCCTGAGTTAACGTCAAGTTTTCCTTCGGTCCAACTTTCTCCCACTAAATATTTAGAGTCATAACAGTGACTATTTAGACACTCAACAACCCGGAGCGCTCGTGAGGGGAATGTCCAGCCCGTTTGGAATGAGGTCTGGGGCTTCTTACAAGAGGACAGAATATCCTTAATCAAAAAAAAATTATTTTTTTAAATTAAGTTTTGTGAGAAGGTGCTTGTGAAGACAAAGTGAGAAATACATGAATGAAACGGGATGGAAGACGAGGCCAAGCTTTGTAAGCAATTTTAACACTTCTGAATGCTGCTGCTGGCGCCGGCCGACAGCTTAAAGAAGAAGGGACAGTTGACACCATAGTGTCACCCGCCCCTCGCTGCCCTCGCGTGCACCCGCACGGGACCACGGAGGCTTGCGTCGTCGAGACAGCAGAACTGAGAACCAAGGATGCTGGAACAGGAGGAAGTTACAACGGGGACATTCCCACCCAAACGCCAACACCAGGAAGGGCCCTCCCATGGGAGCCTGTCCACCAGGCGACACTCGGCGCTCCACCCACAGGGATGGAGGGCGTGGCCCAGGACAGGGTGCTCACATCTCAGGAAGAGCGTCCCACCTGTCCGCCGTCACGGAAACCGATAAGACGTAACCAGAACGTGTGAACAAGCCCAGAGCCCACCTGGGTCTCATTTTCAGGGGCAACCAGGTGACCCTGCCAGTCCTCACCACGGGCCTTCCGGGCGACACCAAGCCAGCCTGAGCAAAAGCGGGTTGTCCAAAGGACGCCTGTGCAAGACCACACGGACGGCCACACGGCGAGACAGAAGCGCAGCCTCTTCCAAAGGGGCAGAACGCTTCCCTCCAAAACTAGCCCAGAATCTGCAGAGCAGACGGACAGGACACCTGCAGACACACCGACGCGGTAACTGACCAGAAAAGGGCGGAGAGCGCCCTCTCTCCAGGGCAGACACCCACACATGCACGTGTTAGTTCAGTCCTAGGAACAGCCCTAAAAGATCCACGATTTGAGAGAGAGAAATTATTTGGGAGAGATTAAACACCTGGATGGATGTAAATATGCTAAGTTCCTGGGCGGGGGAGGGTGTAGCTCAGGAGCGCATGCCTAGCGCGCACAAGGTCCTGGGTTCAATCCCCAGCCCCTCCATCAAATAAAAAAAAATAATAATTATTATAAATAAGTAAATAAACCCAATGACCTCCCCCCGACAAAAAAAAAAAACGAAAGAATACACTACTAACTAAGTAAG